TGAGCCGTTCACAGCCCGACACACGTATTTGTAAAATCTAAGTGACTCTTACAACATGGAATTCATATAAAATGGAATTATCAACAGTGTTATAGGGTAACAGTAGTAAAAATATATATAATTACAGTTTGAAATAAGAAATTTTTTATGATTTAATTGTTAATAATTTAAGAAATTCAATCTTCCATTGAAAGCATTGTAATTTTACATTTTGTAATTTCATTATATAACTCAACCATAAATTACTAATTAGGAAGAGTGTGAATTTATTTGAATAAAAATGTAATGGCAATTTATAAGAAAAGTTAAATTGTAAATATATCTATTATTAAAACAATAGAGGAGTTTTTGACAGATCTGAAGAATTTAATTCATAGAATCGTGTTTTTTTGGTGTAAAAATGGCTTCAATATTATTCATATTTAATCACAATTGTTACTAATATCTGATGTAAATTGATAATCAAAAAGTCATTATATTTTGTAATTAAATAGTGTAACTTAATAATTAAAAATCTACCAAGGAACGTGTTTCTCTATGGAGGACTTTCTATGGGAAATTGGCTCTTATTTAGGAGATTAGATACGTGAAGAAAAGCCAGAAAACTTTACCTAGGCTACTGTTACGCGCTTTTACACAAATACAAGACTGTTTTTTTAATAAAAATTAACAATTATATAATATTATTGTTCTATAAAAGAGTAATTAAGTTATGCTCTATAACGTGCTAATTATGAAAGAAAAAAAAATTGAGTTCCTACTTGGTTATAGAACATTTTAGTAATGGATAATACGTGTTTTTATACATAAAAATTTAGAAAAAAATTATTACGTAAAAATTTAATTTTATAATATTACTTAACTTTTAAATTATTATATTAATATTTAACAAACCCATACCAAACTCTAGACGAATTGCAAGTAGCTTATCCAGTTGTAGTCGTACTTTATAATGAAATAATAAATAATAAAAATACAAGAACGGCACAAGTTATGACATCATGAATTCATGAAACATATCCGGGATTTTAGTATTACGAAAACATTATTTGTTGAGTCACTTTAATTATCAGAATATACTCGAGTAACCTTATCAGATGACAAACTTTGAAACAATATAAAGATAAACGGTGTTTTAAAAAATATTAATTTAACTATAGCTTCTAACCATTTTCCTCATCTGATATAAAAATCTTTATTATTTTTTTATAATTCTAATACCTCTAATTTAACGCTTAGCTACTACAAAATAATATGAAGTACTTAAGCATAACAATTTAAAATCTTAACTAGAGGAATTTTATACGAATAGAGAGGTTGCGGCCGAAGTTTTCATCTGTAAAACGTGAACGTCGAACGTCGAGAGTCGCTTACAAGATAATGGCTCTCGACGTTCGACGTCCACGTTTTACAGATGAAAACTTCGGCCGCAACCTCTCTATTGTGTTAAAATTCTACATTAGACTGTTGATACTATCAGATATTTAAAGCACACATTAAGCTTTTATTTTCTAAATTTCGTATAAATCAATTCCTTATACAGTCGACCTCCTATAACACTGTTGATAATTCCGTTTTATGTGAATTCCATGTTGTACGAGTCACTTAGATTTTACGAATACGTGTGCGAAACTGTGAACGGCTCACGTATTTGTAAAATCTAACTGACTCGTACAACATGGAATTCATATAAAACGGAATTATCAACAGTGTTATAGGGGGGTTGACTTGTAGATTCTTTATGCAATCATAAGAGGAAATTATAAAATTCTAAGAATATTAATTTATATTAACTTCCTGATATTATACTACACTTAACAATATTATTATTTATAATTTTAAAATACTAATTTTAAATTATAAAATGATTTCATTTGAAAAGTACTATAAATAAAACGCCTATAAATGTTTTCTATATAAATAATTACAGTATATTTATTCTAATATAAAGGTAAAAATAATACTAAAATTGTGTCATTTATCTGTTCGATCCTCCTAACAACTTCTCATGGTCATTCGTGATGTTTTTTGACCTAATTCGCAAGCATTATCCTATTTTCTTTCTAAAACTAGGATTAAATTTTTTTTAAATTTACCTCTAAAATAAATATTATAAATTACTTTCTTTTTTTTAAATGTTTTCCTCACACGAATTATTGATTTTTAACAGGGCAGGCATTGATTCTATAGTTTTATAAACTGGAATCAATGCCTGTCCCGTTAAGAATCGAATCCCAGACCTTCATAGTGGAAGGACGACACGCTTCTATACAGCTACTCTGAGTAATTTGTTGAATATTATCCATTACTTCTTTGATTATATTTGTAAATTATACTTGCATCTATAAATCTATTATTATATTATACAGAAAATAATTAAATAAAAAAATTACTATCAATTTTTTATATTGCTATCTATTTGGATGGATTAAATATAATTAAAATAATTACAAATGATAAGAGTAATTAAGTAAATAATAATGACAAATTAACTTAATGAAATTATACTTAGTTCTATTATATTCAGTTGTAAATTCAATCATTTTTCTTAGAAAATAACACGATATTTTCAGCTCTAATAAATTTTTTCCATTATAATTTTTTTAAAAAAGAATAAGTAATAATGACAATTTAATTAATTAAATACCGTAATATTATAATCTCATAAGCTAAATTAGCCTAATTTTTAAACCAAAACAACTTTTCTTCATTAAAAACTACAGGTTTTGTATAGTACAAAGTAGACCTCCCTATAACACGGTAGATAATTCCGTGTTATATGAATTCCGTGTTGTACGAGTCGCTTAGATTTTACAAATACGTGAGCCGTTCACAGCCCGGCACACGTATTTGTAAAATTTAAGTGACTCGTACAACACGGAATTCATATAACACGAAATTATCTACAGTGTTATAGGGGGTATACTTATAATATTTTCATTAATTTTGAATTTATCATCTCTTGTATTCTGTATTTTACGATTATATTTTAATGATCTTTCTGTTGCTCCTATGTAATAAATTGTATTATTTTGTATTTTAATACGCGGGTAAATCCCTAATTCTTCTATTGTTATTCACTAATCTTTATCATTCGTGTGTGAACTAAGCAACGTAGATGACGAATTTACTAGTACTTTAATCGGGAATTTTTTATTGTTTTTCTAGAAATAAAAAAGCCTACCATTTAAATAAAACGTTTAATCAGTCAACCATTGCATAGTAATGCTTGTGTAGCTCTTCCTTTAATGCCTTGGAAGAATATTATGTTCATTAACATGTTTTTTATGTTAATAAATAAATGGGTATATTAATGAAAAATACAATAGACAGTTTATTTTTTGAGGGTATGCATGGGTTTAATAAGAAATTGTAAATGCTAATAACGAGTAAAATTGTCATTAAGTTCGACCCTACCGGAGATATGACACAAAACCCCATTTATCTCTCCACCCCTTCAACCTTTAATCACCAAAATTTAATAGAATCAATCCCTCTAATACACAAATCTTCCAGCAAAATTTCAGAAATTTTCGACAAAAAGCACAGATGTTATTAAGCTTCAAAGGGGGGGTGAATAAAATCATGCTCCACACATCAGTACATACAGAAAAACCCCAAATTTTTTGGAATTTCTCGACGTTTCAAAGTCCCGAGTCCAAAAATGTAAAAATCGAATATAATTAATTAATTTAGTTTACAATACAGGTATAAATATAAGTGTGTATGGTGTACTCTATTACTCATAGGATATACAACATCACCGTTGTTAAGCGGATCATTCTGTACAATAACTTATAAAATCTGCTGTATATAATTATAATGAATAATATATAAATTAATTTTATATTTTAAACTATTTTTTTGAAGTGAAAATTATATTTTATACAATTAAATTTTTTCTAGTACTTGATTTTTTCCTTTTTTTATTTGTATGAATGGAAGAATAATTTTGTTGCGAAGTAAAAATAAAATTGTGTAATCGCTAAGAAAAAACAATTGCGATGGTACTAAATAAAATACTAATTAAAATAGTTATTTCAGCATTAACGGATTGTGAAAGTCATCCTATTGCAATTACCGTACTTATCATTAAACAATAAATGTTAATTAAGATTTAATTTCGTACATTGTTCATTTAGGTTCCTCCTCTTCTTATTATACTTGAAGAGTAAGAATTCAGAATATATTTAACTAATAAAAACCATAATTTCAATTTTTTACATTACGAGATTGCGGCTGAAGTTTTCATCTCTTAAACGTGAACGTCGAACGTCGAGCGCCGCTTACAAGATAGCGGCGCTTGACGTTCGACGTTCACGTTTAAGAGATGAAAACTTCGGCCGCAACCTCTCTATTATTGGAAAAAAATCAAAATAGCCCTTCTTGAATTTCATTTTTAATTCTTTCTTCCCTGTGGGCACTAACAAGAGTGCCTTACCCACTATATCCATCATAGTTAGTGAGGGATCTAGGATGAAAAACTCCTGGTTTTCACCTTCCGGATTCGATACTGAATACCCCAGAGCTGGGCTTTCATACTATTGCTTAAAAGTGAATAATTAAAACTATATAATAAATGACAATTTCAACACAAATCTCATTAGATTCTGATAACAAAGACTTCCTCCCTGTTTTTATTTTTTTTAAACGGTCACGCATCGTTAATAAAGGAAATGGGAGTGACTTCTAGAAAGTTACGAAGAAAACAAACAATCTTGTTGACTAAATAGGACAATTTCGAATGTTTTTAATGATTTCCTATTCTAAAGAATATACTTATGCATAAAATTCGTCGAGTATTTTAACCTTTTATTTATATTTTATCGTAAAACACTCACGAAATTTATATTGGGACATTATATATAAATCAATAAAAGCGAATTAAATAATAATAAAAATCTGGCATGACCCATTTATTTTTAGAAGTCGTAAAAAAAAAAAAAATAAATTATTCGAATGCCTTCTATTCTTATTTTATACACGTTTTAATTTCTATTGAAATTTTATTTTAATTGCTGTTTCTTATTACAATTAACCTATTTGATAATGTACTGTTTGCATTTTCTCGTTACGCTCAATTAACAAAAAGGTATTTTAATAACTGTAAAATTACTTTTATTTTAAAATCAATGGCCATATTTAATATAAAAAATTGAGTTACAGTGTGTAATATTACAAATAAGTTATCTAATTTTAATGTTTTATAATCATTGTAATGGATGGTAAGAGCTTGAAAACATAGTTTTGTAATCAATGGATTGCATATGTTGTATATATTATATNCTTGCTTGAAGAAAGAAGCCTCTAAATTTATTGAAATTTTTTGACTTTATAGATACTGTAAATAAAATAACAATGACATTTTTTAAAAATGCACTATAAATTCATATTCTAATTGAATAATATTGTTAAATTTTGCAAACCTTCGAACTGTCCATTTAAAGGTTTTACAGATACTTCGTAAGGGGCAGGTATTGTCTGAGCAGTTGCACCATGTTTTGGATTCATTGATTTACAAGTACTTTCGGGTGCTCCTGATCCATGTGCATCCACTTCGTACGAAGTTAAGTAAATATAACTAATTAACAACAATAAGAATTTCATTTTGCCTGCAAATATTAAAAATTTTATAATGACATTCGAGGAAACTTGTAAAAAACTCCCTGGAAACATAAGATACAATGTCATACAAATTACCCCATTTACAATAGTTCAATGGAGATAAAGAATGTAATCCATCATACCAGTGGACCCCCCTATAAAACTGTTGATAATTCCGTGTTATATGAACTCCATGTTGTACGAGTCACTTAGATTTTACAAATATGTCAGCCGTTCACAGCCCGGCACGCGTATTTGTAAAATGTAAGTGACTCGTACAACATGGAATTCATATAAAACGGAATAATCAACAGTGTTATAGGGAGGGTCGACTGGTATAAACATATTTTCGGGAAAATACGCTCATAAATGAGTTTTATATATATATATATAAGGATGAAAATAATGAGAACAGTTGCTACAGAATGAAGACTTTAGTATTATATCAATAAATATCAATATTTAATATACAAAATCTGATTTTATACGTATATTGAAACAAGAATGAAGATTGTGAATTACTTTATATGTTAGTAATAAGTACAAACACCTTTTTTCCAGGGAAATTTTTTAGAAATGTAGCTACGGGCACGGTCTGAAGGTTACACAATGATAATGACTTTGTCTATTCACGATTCTAGGAACATCATTTGCCATCCCTTTCCACTTAAATTATGTTTTATAATCTCTAATCGTCGTCCTTGAAACATTTTAAGAAAAAAGTCATTAAAATTGTATTTAAAAATATAAAAACAATAGAAATAAATGTTAAGAAAAAATATGTATTTATAGATAAAGATGGTGATAAAGTAATCATGCTTACAGCATTAACAGTTTATTTAATGATAAGCATGTGTTATAAATAATATGATTGTCACATTCTTTTATGTTCCTGATTAAAAATATTTATTTTAAGAAATTAAAAAAGTTTAATCAAATAAATAAAAGAAATACTGTTTATTTACACTTTTTTTTTAAAGTTTAAATAGACAAAATGTTGTTTAATTATAGTTATTGTTATATATTTATATATAAACATTTTAATTTAATTATTTTATACAAATATTAGAGTGATTAGCCTATAATTAAACTGACCTTACTTAGAATACCCTAGGACCTGTTCTAATGGACATATGCAGATGAAACTTGATATATATGGGGAATAGGGAAAACAAAAATTAGTTGAAATTTTCACCACTAGGCGAAAATATAGCGCTTCGAGGACAATTATAATGATGTAATGTTACGCAAATTACAGTAGAAAATAGCGTGCCTGGGCTGGAGCAACCCCAAATTAGCACAAATGAAACCGTATTTATCGTTAAGAATGTGATAAATTTTAATCGACTAAAAATAATCTGTCAGTTCAACTGATAATGCGCTATTTATTTTATTATTTAAATAGAAAAAAACATGGCTATTTTGCTCTAAATTCTTGCTATAAGTTCGCTAGATTATGAGTACTTACGGATTGCATTTTAATATTTAACATATTAAAATCTTTAATGTACTCATTAACGGTATTACTGATGAATATAAAAACCTTACATGAATTATTTTCACTTAAAAAAACAGTAAATATATAATTTTCTGCATTAATATTCAGTACTGTAATTTTTTAATCATATTTTAAAGATAAAATAATCGATAAAAAGGTTCTAAAATGTAAGCATATTTTTCATTGATTACATCAGAAAAAGATAACATCAAGTCACGTAGATCAATAAATAAAAATCAATAAAAAAGTTTTAATTTAGAAAATAAACTTTATAAAATTAGTATAAAATATTATCTAATTAAATCCATGATATAAATTTATGTAATAATATAAGTCTATACAGTATAGATAGAGGAGAAGGTGGTATTATGGAACCCCAATTACATTTTAGTGAATTGTAAACAAGGTATCATAACTACACCCACATTTTTTGTGGGTGTAGTTATGATACCAGTGCAAAAAGTACTGGTAACTAGTAAACTAAATGTTCCTAATTGGATTTTTCGCTAGTGTAATTATAAGTATGGTTTTTGAAGGCTTTTGTACAAAAAGTCCGAAAGTAGGCTTGTAGAAAGTAGAGAAAATCGGGTGGTAATACGGAACCTTACTGTATATTTTCAAAATAATGCTTTAATGTAACCAAAAATAAATAGGAAAAGACAAAAAATGTTAAATAATTACAAAATTATTTACTCCAATGTATTTTATCGCAAAAATGCTTTTATAATAGAAAAATATGACCTCCATAAACAATATATATTCCAGCAGCTCTTTTTCGGTATTCTCGGGAAGAATTGGCTTTCTACTTAGTGTCTTTTTCACAAATTGCTATGGAGGAATGTCTGCTTGCAAATAGAAAGTTCGAAGGAGTTGAGTTCCATATTACTGTAAAAGCACCAATGGGGTCCGTATTTCACGCATCGCCATCTTGAATTAACTTATGTCTGTC